GCGACAGCCAACACAGAAGCTCAACGATGATTCGATTTAACGCGCTAATAGTGCTAGTTAAAGTTATTAACAAAATAACTATATTTAATGTAAATTGTAATCTCTGTTTTATTTAATGATTCTACGTCACACTATGCATGCAAATTACCTGCTTTGTTCAGGTAACGTAGTAAGCTGTTGCTGATAAAATACTGTACAATGCATTAGATTATATAAAAAAATAGGGTATTCGATTATTACATTACATGTAGACACGTTGACATGGACATATAAATAACATCATTTATACGAAGAGTCAGGGGGTCATTTTGTCCGTTCCAGTATACAATGCAATGTAGGGACATGTAAACTGGTAAGAGACAAACAGAGTTGCATCTGGCTGAGTGGTGCAACAGTCGAGTGCACGGCTTGCAATTATTTCGTCTCTCTCATGGGGCGATAACAATTCGTACCACTTTGTGAGGATTCATGGTTGTGATATCGATCCACCTTGTCCCTGCCACAGTAATGCGTAATTTTCACCACTGGCCGAGAGCTGTAAACGGAAGATGAGCGTCAACCCATGCACAACTGAGCAGGTGTTTCTCAAGTGCAGAATCAGCTGTGTCACACCAGCACGTGACGCCTCACCCCTACTAATTATACATCCACGCGCTTTCAAGTTCGCTCTACAGCTTCATTGTATAATTGGTTTTTTACCCTTCTATCTGCGCCTTTTGGCGTCATCTGGTCCAACCCATGTGAGACTAGGCTCTAAGGAAAGCTGTCTCGGGTGTGGACCAATCAACTTCAAGGACAGTGCATACATTATTAGAGTTATGTCTTTTGTTTGTATTATGACTGCAGGTATTGCGGTCTATCCAAATATGACTCCTTGTAAAAAAGTGTCAGTTTTGTTGCCAGATAGAAGGGTAAAAAAACAATTATCATATTTTTACTGGCAAATGAGGTTCCCATAGAGCTTCATTGTAATTTCTATGCATTCATTACCGCCCCCCCCCCCGTCTTTGCCTTCGCACAAGAAGGGCTCACAAGTGACGCCACCACATCTATCCCTCGATTTAAGGAACAAAACGGGAGGATTTTTCCACAAATATGGCTGTTGCCTGATGAAGCTAGTTGTAATTACCGGCGAAATATCGTACTCAGATTGTTAATGTTGTGAATCTACTCTCCAACACAACCGGCGTGCCGTACTAGTGACGAATTGGCCACGTTCTGTTTACGTGACAACCCTTACTTATTGTGTTGGGTGGTGGCGGGTTCAATGACTCTCATATTTATGCGATATAGCCCAAAAAAATAACCTGTTATGGGTGCGCTTCTGTCATTTCACACAAAAATAACCACGTAGTCAGTGGGAAGTAAAACCATCAAAGCCCAGCAACCGGATTCACGAGCCGAGTGCGTGGGCTACCAAGCTATTTACTACTTTGCCCCCCGAAAAAAATAATTTATAAAAGTCTTAAATCAATGTTGTACCTAAAAAGGAAATAATTTATGCTATTACTGCTACATTCCTAATATAGATAAATTATTAATTATTGCGGTGTGATTCATCACAGAAAAATGAATTATGTTTTACTCAATAATAATCAGGCACGTCGTGAAGGCAGCCTAAATTCCGCTGCAGTATTTATGTCACAGCAAGAGAGAGAGAGAGCGGTGCATTACGTCGTACGTTAGCAAACTGTATTTTTTAATAACTGCCTTTCATTGTAGTTTAATAATGGTACTAAAATAAAGCGTCATTTTCATCACTTTTTTTCCAATCCACCGCAAATGAAGGCCTCCTCGCACCACGTCAATTGTTTGACCAAACTTCCCCGTTCTGGGTCGTGTGCGGCTTGGTGAAGGAGGGACCCACGTGGCTAGATGAAATATCACTTGCCGCTGATATTAATCATGGCAAGAAATTTACACACTGTGCCACCACGCTGCCTCTAGTTTTGTTATTTAATATCATTCTGTACACTGCATTAAAAAAATGTTATCCTTAAAAATGCAATTTACATGAAAATACTACACCAAATCATTTGAGGAATGCCTAATAAAATCAGTGAAACATAATTTTCAATCGCAGTATAATTTAGAAGTAAACTTATTAAACTCAAGTATGTACCCCCTCCCCCCAGTATCAAGTCAAGGGGCTTACATAGCCAATGCAGCTAATGCTACAACACCTCGCCACGGAGATAGATCAAATAATAAAAATAATAACAATCTCACCTCACCACAGTTTCCTTCCTTCCGGCTAGAAAATGCAGCCGTACCAAAGTTGACACCCATCCTCCCAGAGTACGCTTCCCAACGATGGCCAAACCGCATGGCTTCAGAACCTCCCCTCGTCGGCCGCTTCCATGCCCATCTCGGTGACTCCATCACTCACCGACTCCTGCGCCCACCACATCGACGGCTCCGTCTACCGCCGTAACTGCGGCTTACAACGCCACTCTCTTACTGCCCCGAGGATATCCCTCGCATGGTGTCTTTCCCCAAGTTCCCTTATCAATTACACCTCTAATAGTGTTGCTGGCTGCAGGCTGTTTGGGGGCTTTGAGTTTGTGCTCAGCGACTGTGACGAAGTAAAAAAATAAAACAAAAACTGATCCTGCGCTCGTGTCTGATCATCTTTCACGATACCGTTTTCCCGATCACATCTACAACACATCCTTGCCATGTTATATTTCACACGTCCACGTTTACTTACGCTATTCCAATCATAATGTGCCCAGCGTCTACCACAAGCACCTGCATTCAAAGGGCATACATTTATTTTCGAGTTGCTTTGCGGAAAATATCGCTATCTGGCTCTCACAGCAGACACGATCATTGCTCCGGTCTCATAACCAACGTCTTTTAAGCAATGCAGGTGGCCTCTGCTCTTCAAATGCATTTTATGCAAAAAATGACCCTTATAAATGCAACCTCTCTTGACACTGCTCTCAAAACCTCCCGTGTTATGAGAATTTCTACATAAATACACAGACATTTACATTCCTTTTGATACTGGTGACAAGGATAGACAGGAACCGATCACGTACTGGTGCAATGCAAACATCGCCAAATGTGATGCCTTGGCCGACAACTCTCTCTCCGTTCGTCTGTCCTTCGGCAGCCTCCGTCGGGTGTTGTGCCGGCGAATCAGTCCAAGTTATCACATTTGTCATCTGGCTGATCCAGGGTCAGCCTTTCCTTCTTTAATCCTTCTACCGTGCCCTGTAAGATGATGCCGGATGGCTCCCCCCTTTCTGTGTCGCATGCTGAAACGGTCGCAGCTTCCGTTCCTTCACCTCTTGTCAAGAGCGGTTCGTCCGTGATCTCTCCCACCACCCTTTATGTAATTTAAGCTCGGAGAGCGTGGCTTATCCGGTGCGCTGTGTGCGGTGTTCCTAGCCAACGGTGAACTTGTACATTGGCAAAATAAGGGAGGCGAGAGCTCCCAAAGGGATGTCTAGGGTCAGTGGAAGAAGGCGCTCTGACAATGCAAGCCTTGCTCGTTGAAGCTGCTAATATATGCGAAGCGTTATTGTCCGAGCTGACAATCCGGCACCATCCACAGACTCCCAGTCTCTCGAGCACAAATGACCCTCTGGTATTCCGAGGTGTTATGCGGCTTCTACTCTGTCCATGGGTTTAGTGAACATGTAGTCGAGCATGTTGGGCATGGCGGGAGACAAAAATCCACCCCTCCCAAACACACGTGTTTTGATCTCTTTCAAATTACCTCACAACTCTCTCCTTTTCTTTAGTAGCCATCCTGAGCATTAATTTTGACTTCCTTTTTAGAGACTTGGGTGCGCAAGTGTGCACCAAGTATGTATGTATACTGAACTTATTTCGCACCGTACGTAGCCAACAAACAAAACAGAAAAAAGCAGTTCTAAAATAAATTAGTTTTCAATCTGGATAATTCAAAAGTGGATAGCTCCAGTGGCTTCCTAATATCGTAAGGAAAAGCATTTACAAACAGTATGAACAGTGAGGCCATCTGCTAGTCAGTATGGAAATGACAAGCTACGAATGACAATGGAATACGGTTGCTGGAGGTTTGCAGTGGTAATCGGAGAGTTATCGGTGACAACCAGCTCCGGCAGAAAATATAACCACGCAAAGTTTTATCGTCCGATGGTAAGACTGAAATTACGAACGATTTCAGCACACACGGTAAACATGCAAGGGTACGAGCGGGAGGTATCCAGGTGGATGCTTCAAGTCCGTCGGCCACTTAAAATGTGTATGCCGCCCACATCCAATTACATTAGTTCAGGCCACAAATGTTTCCGTCGAAATTATGCACGGGGGCATTGCTGGCAATGCGAAGTCTGAGTGTGAATGGGTTCCGTGATGAAAATATCCATATCACTTCAAAGTTCGGCAAATCTCATTCACAGATGTAAAGCTTCCCTCGCGTCTCGAAATTCCCATTAGCTTAAACATGGATTCATATACGGCATTGTTTTTACAAATCAAGTTGTAATCTCATATATGTCAAAGTTGATCACAGCAGTTATCTCAATTGGCAAAACAATTGTACAATTTCTAAAATACAATCACGTGCAAAAAATATACGAGTAACAATAGAACACTAAATTACTACACGCAACTTCCACTTTTTCAGTTCATGAACATGTAAAACAACCATAGCGAAGCTCCATGTCTCATCCATTATATTAGAGTTTAGCTTTGAGTCTTCTTGGTTCTTTCGGTAAAGTCACGTAGAAGGGAAATAAAAAAATAACAAAAAAATAAAACATAATAAAATAATTCTCACGACGTTTCGGCCACAACACAAGCAGCCGTCCTCAGGTGAAGAACATGTCTGTCGGAAAGACAGCGTCTGAATGAAACACCACCAGGCTTGGAGCGTATATTTCAGCTGCTTTAGAGGGAGAAGAGCGTCCCCCTCCAACCCAGCGTCCACCTCCAACCAGGCTTAAATATACGCTCCAAGCCTGGTGGTGTTTCATTCAGACGCTGTCTTTCCGACAGACCTGTTCTTCACCTGAGGACGGCTGCTTGCGTTGTGGCCGAAACGTCGTGAGAATTATTTTATTGTTTTATTATTTTATTATTTCCCTTCTACGTGACTTTACCGAAAGAACCAAGAAGATGAATCCCTGCAGTCACGAAAGCTTTATATCGAAATTTAGCTTTGAGGTTGACACTTTTTGTTACAGCTGAACCATAGCTTCGATTTTAAAAATTCCTTTAAATACAACCTGAAAAATATTGACCAGGACACCTCTTTCCAAATAATTATTTGAACGTTAAATATGCTCACAACCACTTGATAAGATGTATCATTCCATGCATTTGTCTGATGGGTAAGGTGCGAAAACCTCAATGGACAATAGATGCTCCAGTTGGCCTTAACATTTGACTGACCATGTCTGAGCCGTTATAACATCATTTTAGATCGTACAACCTTCTTCAGGTTCTTAAAAATATAGAGAACAGCAGAGGGCATTCACAAGTACGAACAATTAATGAGCTCCTTTCAGTATGATAACACGGTTATGTCAGCGTGAGAACATTGAACACATTACTTTCAAAAGAGATGTTCACGCCTAGGGCAAGCCGTCCGCCATTTTCTGATGCCAGTCCCCTAAGAGCCTAATTACACACACACGTTAGTGCCATGACCGGCTTGCTTCAGCAAGGTCGCCGATATTTATATGCCAGTTGTCATGAAAACCTTCTAATTGGAGCGTTTGAAGTTTGCTGCACAAGGGTGGACAGAGTAACTCAAAAACCTTAAGATTAAATCACCAAATACTGTATAGATCTTGCTTGACTCTTTTGAATTACTAGCAAATTGATATTGCTTTAGTTTTTTTTTCAAAGTACTCAATTAAGTCTTCCTTCATCATATTAAACACAAAGATAAATGCCGTCAGCTAACCACACGATATTTATTTCACAATCTAATTTAAAAGGACATTAGTTTGTATTGACTCACTCACAAGACAACCCTACAAGCTGCCATATAAATTTGAAATGTATCGCCAGTCATCCAATGCGATCCATACATAACGATAATTAATGCAGACAACTTTTATTTAAATGCACAGCTATATCGCAGTATTGAAATGGCATGATGTGTGAATTTATGAAAATCTGAATCCGACTCAGTCTCACTGTAAACACTGCCTATCCATAAATATATATTTGGGCTCTCCTTTAAAAGATGGAATTTGCCAGAATCTCAAGGTTATGAAATTACTTTCTACACGGTTTCCCAACTGAAATATGGAATAAAAACTTGTGACAACACACTGGAGCCGCTAGTCTGACACACCGCATACATTTGCAGGCAAGAAGCAGCTGAGTCTTGCGATGACTCATGATCTAGGATGCTTGACCAAGGCCATGCTTTTCCAAGCCTTACCTTAATCTAAAGTACAAATTGTTTGATAAAACGGATTACAGTAGTAAAATGATAATAAATTATACCACGGACTATACGCGTTTTCAAGTTCACAGACAGCTACTGTACATGCAATAACGACATCCTAGAGATCCATGGCTCATCCAGTCTTCTCGCTTATCCTACGCTTAAAACGTGCATTGATTTGCAAGCAAGAAGCAGCTCCGAGACTTGCCAATGACGCGCAATCTGGCATGCTAACCAAGAGCCACTTTTTCCATATGTCGACAGGGCTGTTACTCAATATGCTTTACTAAAGGGGGTGGGATTACTTACAAAATGTGACTCGCGTTTTTTTTTTTGTGCGCTCCCCCAAGACAAACACCCAACATTGTCAGGCTGAGCGGCAGCCACCATTATAACCCCCACCCCCCCCCCCATCTGTATTCTGCTTGGGGAACAAAGATCACAACAGGATAACAGCTTGGGGTGGGCAGATATGTAAGCTGTGAAGAGCCACACACGTTGACATTCATGGCAGGGGCACACACCCGTTTCAGCAACTTTAACGCACACGCCAGGATTAAGTGTGACTGTGTAGAACGAGCTTCGTGAAGTCTGCTAATTTAAGGAGTAAATAGTAGGCATGCCACGATTCCTCGCTCACCTCAGCGATTACATTCAAGTGTCTATTATTTTTGTTCGTTTCGCTCTTAACCATCTTTTTGATCACGTTTCACATTTTTCCGTCTCCAATATTTTGTTGTTCCTTCGTTACCCCCCGCCCCCCCCCCGAACGCGACGCGAGCGTATCATTTGCATACATTGCACAACTCAAATGCACGTATTGTGAGCTATATAATCAATTTTAATCGCCGAATCAATACTACATTACTCGCCTGGCAAATAGAGGCGGCACGGTGAGAGTTGATCTGCTGCATCGCTAATGCTTTGCGTGCCACTGCCAATGGCGTCGGCCACACCTTGCAATGTGTGGGGCTTCTTCCTATTGGCGAATGGTTGCCAGTGATTATCTGTTAAGATTACAAATTGGATCCACATCGTTGTCGTCCTCACTTCATGACAGGCGCAAGTTCTACTCCGCTTTAACTGCATCACATCTTCGCACTGGCTGCATGCTCGGCGCCGCAACCCACCGTTCATTGCGCTACTGTGTACCGAAATAAAAGAAACCCAACATATTAATCAATAACACCATGTGACCTTGTAAGAAAAATATAAATATTCTGGAACATTTCGGGCAATGGCCCTTTTTCATAGCACAAGAAGGGTGGGGGGGCAGTGCTCGAAACGTTGCCGATTTTACATTTTTATTTTAAGGCAGAATGTGTTGATTTTTTCTTCTTGTCGTCAAATTGTTCTTGTGCATCGCTACTTCCGACGCAGAAATATCAAGCAATTTTTTAACAATCAGCATTATGTCACCTTAGTTGTGATGAAGGAAGATGGGGGGGGGGGGGGGAACAAACAAACCCCAGACTCAACAATCCCACAACTTATTCTTATTTCTTGTTCAAAAAAATTGTCGCCATGGCCTCTCTTAGCCACATCTCTAAGTGTCGGAGATGTCGGGGACGGGGTGGGGGGCATGCAGTGGTTGCGCCCTAAGGCGCTCGCTCAGAGCCGGCCCAGCCACTTAAGCGACCCTTGCAATTGCAAAGGGCCCCGTGGCCAGCAGAGGGCCCCCTAGAGTCACTGCTAGCTAGTGGGTGAAAAAAATAATACATCAAAGGGGTTCCAACCAAATTTTGCTTAGGGCCCCCAAAGGTTTAGGGCCGGTTCTGCGCTCGCTACCCCACGGGTTCTTCACCCGGAGGCGGTGGCGACCGGCTCCGGTCCCGACAGTTCGTGCAGCAGACGCGAGTACGTGCGGCGCTCTGCCTGCTGCGAGTGGTTCCCTTCCACGAGACGCCGGGCGCACCGCACCAGCCTCTCCCTCAGAGCCATGTCCGTCATTAGTCTCCGTGCCTGCACTTTGAACTCCTGCGGGATGGGATACATGGGCTGTGTGTTAATACAATCAGCAGTTTCAGTGTTCCGAGGCCCTGATCTAGTTGACGGCACGACCCATAATACAGGCTTTTTTTTAGTTAGATCGCGTAAATATGTGTTGTTAAACCCGCCACCACCCGACACAGCCAATCGGTAAGGTTTGTCACGTAAACAGAACATGCCAATTCGTTACTAGAAAGCACACCGGTGTGTTGTAGAACAAATCCACAGCATTTACAATCTGAGAACGACGTTTTGTCAGTAATTACAACTTCATCAGGCGACAGCCAGATTTGTGGAGAAATCCTCCTGTTGTCATCACATCTACCCCTCTGTTTAAGGAACGAAACAGGAGGATTTATCCACAAATCTGGCTGTTGCCTGATGAAGCTAGCTGTAATTACTGGTGAAATGTTGTACTCAGATTGTAAATGTTGTGGCTTGGCTCTCCAACACGAATTGGCATGTTTAGTTTACGTGACAAACCTTACTAATTGGCTGTGTCAGGTGGTGGCGGGTTTAACGGCACATTTATATTTACGCGATCTAACCCAAAAAAAAAACCGTCTTATTGAAAACCAACCCTAGTCTACAAGCACCCTGAATGGCTGATGGGGAGCTGGCCATGGTAGAAAGGAGAACGATGTGTGTGTAATGTGGAGGGGGCATTGAAGGTGGAAGGGTGGATAAATTAATTAATGTACATAATGCACGGGCATAATATGACTTTGAGACCCCCCCACCCTACCTCCTACGCATTCCACAAGTAGTGACTAATCCGATATCTGCATTTTCCAAAAATATGCTACATTCCTCTGTTGATATGCAAATTCCTTTGTCAAGGCGCCCTTCCTCCCCTAACCCAGCTTAAATATACGATGCCAAGCTTGGTGGTGTCACATTCAGACGCTGTCTTTCCGACAGACCTGTTCTTCACCTGAGGACGGCTGCTTGCGTTGTGGCCGAAACGTCGTGAGAATTGTATTTTATTAAGTTTTATTTTTATTATTTTATTATTTCCCTTCTACGTGACTTTACCGAAAGAACCAAGAAGAGCATATCATTTGTCTAAAGAAGAAATTCACACTTGATAAAACAAAAACACATTTTAAAGTACCACTTATTTAGATGTAATATATATTAAAAACTGGACCTCTGCTTAGCGTTACAAGGAGGAAAAAACAACAACCACTTAATAAGAGTTAATAATGTGTCACATTCCTTAATTACCTCCTATTAATTATAAAGTGTCAGTCGGTTTATGCAAAGAACTAATGATTAATTGGGTGCAATTTACACTGTAATTTTCCAAGTGAATTTCTTAACGAATTTTCAACGGCGCAGTTTTTATGTGCGTGCCGATTTATTCACTTTGGCTCCTCTGCTTGGCAAAGCGCGCCTGTGTGTAAATGTATGCATCTACAATTGTATATGCAGAAGCAGTCCTCTCATCTGCCAAACAAATTTGAGAGATGCTGTTGTGGATAAGCAGCACATTTGCGGATAAGGGAAGTTTTCTTGCTACTATCCACAAAAGCACACCTCTTATCTGCAACTGACACAATAATTGCAAATAGGATTAATTGGTCGCTCAATTCATTTGATATGCAATTAAGAAAGATAACAGCGGTGTCTATTATTCATTCGTGTTCCAATCTGTTGGCTGTGCCAGGATTAACGAACGTAACACTTGGGACAGGCGTGTTCACATGCTTCCTTGACAATGGTGGGAATACTCGACATTGTTACTTTACAGCTGCAGTAGCGTGGGGAATAATGGAGGCGATGACAAAAACGTGACATCCTAAATCATCGTCATCATCATTGTTAATCATCTTCATCATCGTCAACCATGTCCTTACTCTTGCACGCTGCCCAATTGTCTTAGAACAGGTGGGAGCACCCACACTCTATCCCACCACAAGCGATCAACTGTCCTGTGCCGAACAGATTTACACTGCCGGGCGAACAGAGGCTTTCGAGAAACTTGCACCATCGTTTCAACCACTGTGGTGGCGAGATCATGTTAACTACCTCACCTGGTATACAGGAGGACGTGGGTTCGACCCCGACCTTGACGCCTGTTGTATATTTGGAGTTTGCATGTTCTCCCCGTGGTCGTGTGGATTTTTCTCCGAGTCCTCTGGTTTTCCCCTCCACATTTGGAATCAACATGCGTTTAGAGTATTTGGCTGCAATAAATTTCCACGTGATAAGCCTCCTCGTTGAGCTATCATTTGTGGCCAGGTCGCTTCTGAAAAAGAGCTACACAGCTCAGTGGGCTTTACCTGGTAAAGTAGCTTAGTTCAGTTTGAACTGCCGCGCTGGGAAATGAAATTGGATCGCCACCTCTGGATTGGAAGTTTAGTGTGCCAACTGTTGCACCACGGCGGCAGAATCCCCTGCAGAAATGTTTATGGATGTGACAAATATTGGAATGTCCTATCTGCTGTCCCGTGTTACTCTTTCTGCCCTCTTCCTCCTCTTATGCGTGCATAATCGTGGACAATTGGAAATGCGGCAATCCGCACACGATGTGCTGCCATCAAGAAGAAGAGGGCCGCGGATAATATATTTTTGATGCACATGGGGTGTGAAAGCAAAGGCAGAAATTTGACAAATGCCAAGCGAAATTGGACAAAACAGTATTTTAGGACAATGGTAGATAGGCAAGGGCGATAATGAGATAATTTCAAAGTGCGTTTTTAAAAAGAATAAAATTAAGGACAGCTCTATAAGCAATTCAACCGTATGCCAAGACTGTTCGAAAACTATGGGGAAAAGCACGGCTATTTAATTAACCATTTGATGAAAGCAACACTAATTTATCCAGGGTGCCAATTTTCCCGAACATAGCACGGTCGAAATTGAGACGTAACAAAACCGAGCGTGGCTATATTTACTTGAATTTTAAAAGATTCACTCAAAGACACCAGGTGGTTTTACAGCACTAAGCTGCACGTACCGCACAGTACCCAGGAAAAAACGTAGCAGTGGCATGCCTCCATTGAGTCTCTGTCTACAGACAACTCTCAGCAAAGGGGTTAACCTTGGTTGATTCAATCACTCCTCAAGAAATTATGCAGCGGGAACCCACATTAGAAGCTGGTCAGAGCTTCCAGCCGAATGCATTTCTCCTGTCACAGTATTATTCCCGCACTCTTTGTATTTCAGTTCCATTTTTTATTTGTCAGTCTTGTCCTGTTTTGTTATGTTCAATCACTGGTCCACACGTGATTATATTGTCAGATAGCCAAGGCTATTAAGTCTACCATTCAAACATTCCATACCTTATTTTTCCATCCTCGAAGGTGAAAAGGCGTGCAATTTAATTTACTCCTGCAGAGCATGTCGCACAAACAAGCAAATAGCCACGCATACTATGCGTATCAACATAACATGAGCATCTATTTGTTGTATTCATGTATGTTGAACTTCTTTCACACCATACGTAGCCAACCGTGCTTATTGGAGGTGTGGAAGGACAACAAACCAAACGCCAAAACGCAGTTCAAGAGAAATGCGTTTTCAATTTAGATTTAAAAGTACATAGCTTCAGTGGCTTCCTCATATCGGAAGGAAGAGCGTTCCAGACGGCCACAGAAGCGCATCTGAAGGTGAGCGATGCGGCAACCGACTTTGTTCGATGGCGTACGTGTAATAATTGAAGCCCCACCCCCTCTCCCCTCCCCCCCCAAAAACAATGTAAAGATGAATATGTATCTCATTTAGGGGGTTATTCCAAAATGTATACGCAACACAACCCATACACACCAAGATGATACCGGTTGGTGGCAACCATTTGGTATGATCATTTTATGGAGGGGGTGGGTTTGTTAAATAACTGTTGAACCTTTAGACCAGGTCTTTTTTATGTTGTGAGACTGCTTCATACTTGTTTTGTGATCTGCAGTGCCTTCAGTACCCAGTATATACAAGAGTGCTTCCTTAATGCGATGTATTATTTTTAGACAAAATGTTCCACAGAATGTCAAATAGTTTGAAACATTCTAACAACAAAAACAATTAACCACCGTTCAAGGACACAGCAACCATAACATATTTATCACGAAGCGTTGTGTTTTTATTTTCGTGCGTGTTAATTAGTTACGCCATCAACAATAATTTACCATTGCTCAAAAAAAAGGTTTCATGAAGAGAGAGGGGGGGGGGGGGGGGGACCGGCATAGCTGAAATCGGTAAAACACAAAACGTTCGGTGCGTGCCATGTTTTTTGTTCAGAATGGCGCCGATGCATTCGAGCATGGCCCCCGAAAGCCGTCAAAGGTGATCAATCATGTTGGCAGAAGCCGCCGAGCATGGCGGCAGGGTCGAAGGTCAGCGGGAAACTTTTTAAGCATTTTACAGCTGAGAAGCCGCACGACAGAATGAGCGCTGAACAATCGCCTTCTATTGATCCGTCACCGAGCAAATGCCACAACTCTATCTGGCCCTCTTACTTTCTGAACGCGCTTGCAGGCGTGCACCATCTAAGGACCGAGTCAGTCACCCACATTACAAACATGTCCACCCTGACCCGGGCAAAGTGCTATGATCATTTACCACGCCATTACACGGTCACTCAAATGCCTCCCAGAATGCCGCCTAATGAAGGGAGAGGGAGACCAGCTGTTTGGCCTCGGAAAACAATCTTGAGTTTTGTGCCAACCTCGCATCCTGTTGACATTGCCAACCAGCCAGCCAGTTGCCTTGCCTGCTTTATAGATGAATAAACAGTGACACAATTCATCAAGTGATTCACATAGCATGTTATTGAGCATTAGGGATGGAATGTACGTGGGGGGGGGGGGGGGGGGGGCGCTGGGAGCAGGAATGACAGCAAGCAAAGTGCGCCCCGAACAATTTCTCACAACGTCCCCTTGCGAAAATCCATCCAAGGGGGGTAGAGAAAGGGTCATGCCACTATATTCAGCACCTTCATCCCCCCAGCTGACGTCTTCATCATCATCATCCATCACTGAATTCAATGC